ACAATTTTAAAATCTAAATATTATACCATGTCTTACAGACTGTGTCCATGTCACCAATGTCAGATGTAGATGACCAAATTGTAATGTAGGCTTTTGAGTCTGAAATTGGTCAAAGAATTGTTTTCGATACCTATTAAAAAGGCAGTTCTATACTGCAACTTAATTGCATTAAAAGAAAATCGTTTTTCTTTTGAGTTGCACTACCCTACTGCCATCTGTTCATATGAAAGCCTGGGTTCACCCTCATGCCCCTCAAACACTTTGGTCTGGTGCATAGAAAGTTTCCTTTTAAAACTATTACACGATTAAGTACTTGCTTAGAGAATGATCAGAAGCATCTGGGAAAGGTAAAAGAGAAAAATCCTCACTGGGAAAGCCAGCTTAATGCTTTGCCCTTCGGAGTGGCCCATTATCAGCATTTCATAGTGGCTTTCTTTATTTTCAGGTCCCTGAGGTATGTGCAATAAATTATGACTTGAACTAAACAAGTCACACTTGGCTCCAAAATGAAATTTTCCTACCTTACTTTGTAGTCCCCAAGGTGGGAAGAGGAAATCCTGGTCACAGCCAAAAGAAGTCATATTTTTGGCTTTAACATATATTTTCCTGCCTTTCTCAAAGCCAAGCTCTACTATGGAGACAGGAATGTCTTAAGTTAGTATTTTAAACTCTATTTAATTTTTTTTACTTCCAATAATCTGTCTCAAACTAAGAAAAATAAATAGTATCATTAATTTAATATTACCTCCTTTGTCTTATTCAAATCACTTTTCTAACACTGATCTGAGCTTCTTAAAATATGCATTTAAATGACATACATGGACTATTGTACAGATTATTTAAGAAAGAATACTTCAAAAGTTTCATTTATAAATAATTTCCATTTGTTTCTATGGGATAAATTAAATATTAATGTAAAAGAACATTATAAAGCCCAGTCCTTTGAGCAGTCTTGGAAGAAAGATTTATGAAAATCTTTTAGTCTATCATCTCCTTCTATACAGAACAAGAAAAGGACAGATACTCTCTAAGACAACATCTTCTGAGTCACATCTTTATATTATCTCCCTTGAGTTAGGGTAGAATCTATGAATTGCTTCAAGCCTACTTAATATGGCAAGTATGGGGCAGTGACTCTTCAATTAGGTATGTTGGAAAGCAAAGTGATGGGAAATTACGCTACCAATGAGGTTACATAAAATCCTATTTAGCTGATTGGTGCTAGGAAGCCTTGAAGAATTAAATTTCCAGGCTGTGAGGAAGCCTGCAAACATGGTAACACTAAGGAACTTTAAGTATCTTCTAGGAGCTAAGAGCAGCCCCTGCCTGGGTTATAAAACACCAGTCATACAAATACAAGGCACTGATTGTGCCAGTAACCTCGATGAACTTGAAAGCTCCAGATGAGAACACTGATTTATGGAACTCTGAGCAGAGGACCCACCTAAACCACATCTACACTCATGACCTATGGAGATAATAAATGTATGTGATAATTTGTTAAATAGCAATTAAAAAGCTATATAAAGAGTGGCAGCTTGTATAATCAATATAAGACACTTCCTCTATTTATTATGTTCTACTGTGTACTTAATAAAGCATTAAAATGTTATTGGAAGCCAGGTGTCGATGGCTCATGTCAGATCTGAGGATCATGTTGGAAGCCAGCCTGAGCAGATACATCAAAAGATTCCTATTTCCAGTTAACTGCAAAAAGCTGGAAGTGGAGGTGTGGCTCAAGTGGTAGAGCAGTAAAAGCTTCTGGTGAAAAAGGCTTGAGTTCAAGCCCAGTACCAGCACGCGCACAAAACAAACAAACACATAAACAAAAACACTACTGGACTACTGGGGACTATTTATTTCCTTTAGAAACTCTTTTGCTGACCTATGACAATAACACATAGGAATCATATTAATGTTTACTACCACTTTAATGATTATCGTTATTACCATGTCATAAAGTCTCCAGCTTATGCCTGTACTCCTGGCTACTCAGGAGGCTGAGATCTGAGGATTGTGGTTCAAAGCCAGTCAGAGCAGAAGTCCTTGAGACTCTTACCTCCAATTAAAAAGCACAAAGTAGGAAGTAGAGCTGTGGCTCAAGTGGTAGAGAACCAGCTTTAAGTAAAAAAAAAGTTAAGGGAAGTTCTCTGGCACTGAATTAAAGCCCTAGTACTAGCACCAAAAAAAAAAAAAAATTACATTAAGCCCCTAATCACTGATTAAAAGGTCATTAATTAAACACAATGTTCCAAGACAATATTTTATTGAAAAGACAGAAAGATACTTGAGAAATTATCCTTTTCTTCAAGGTATACCAACTAACAGATTGAAAACACTGAAATATAATGGAATGAAGGCTTTGTAGCATGAGTTTGTGGGAGTAGTGGTTCAAAAGTCTTTGAGATTCTTATCTCCAATTAGCCAACAAAAAGCTGGAAATGAAACTGTGGCTCAAGTGGTTGAATGCTAGCATTGAGCAATAGCTCAGTAACTATGGCTTTGAGTTCAAGCCCCAGGACTGGCCCAAACTAAAATAAAACCGCTCTAACCTTTATATAAATTAATGTAAGCTAGTTTTTAAAAGTTCAAGAAAATATTGTGAGATATAAGCATTTATTATGTTATTTTTTTCCAAAAAATTCTTAAAATTTAAAAAAAATGTGTGAAGAGAAAATATTATATATTTTATGGTTTTTTTTTCCTTCTTTCTTTTACCCTCAAAACCATGTTTCTGGGCATTGCTATTCTATCAAACCTCATTTGTTAGTGTTCACCTCTCTCCCCTGTGGTAGTCAACTTTCTATCATTATGACTTGATACTTGGAATAATTTGTTTCCAAAGCAAAAACATAGCACCTCTTGGCAGGCAGACAGCACAGAGAAGGCTGGGGGTCAGTGTCCTTCAAGGGCACATCACTAGTCACCCAACTTCCTCCCGTCTCTTCAATGTCCCGCCACCTTCCAATAGTGCCAGAGGCTGGGGACCAAACCTTTAATACATAGCCCCAACAATAATACTTTGTTTAGGCTAAATTCCTTCTAGGGAACATCTTAATCTGTCATGAGAAAGACATTTTGGTGGCCTGCTGTGATCCTATTTGTCATAGTTCTGCTTATTCAAATCCCTGGAACTCAAGTGCAAAAAAGTAGCAAAATAAAGAGAGGAAAGAGCTTCTCTGCACTTCATTAATGCATAAGTTAATAACCTGGGCCAGGGAAAATGACAAGATGTCAAAAAGCAACAGGCCCAGTGCACTCAACTTCTGTGCAATGCAACCCTCAGGCACTTGATGGTGAACACAATACAGACGTCAACTGCTTCACCAGGTAGCATTGGCCATTTTAGAATTGGGGAAGAAAATGTAGCAAAAGCCATCAAAGCCAACAGGGACTGAAGACTTTCAGAAATTATGAAGACATCTAAATGTTATAGAATCATAGAGACTAAGTAAAGAGATACTGTTAACTAAAGGCAGTGCTTACCTAAAGACTTGTATGGCCCAGAGAAATAAAAGTAAATATGTAATTTACATTTCCCATTAAAGCATTAAAACTGATCCTACTAAAATTGCTAATTTGGTTTGATACTATTGACTGTACCCTGGAGGAAGGGCCACGAGTCATACTCAGTGGGTCAACTCAAGTTGTTGTTTCAAATTGGTAGAACCTTCAAAGACTATTTGAATGTCAATTTCACTACTCTGAGGGAGTAGATGGTAGAGACTTGGGAAAGCATTACTTCTAAGTATGTCTGAGAAGACATTATCGGAGAAGCTGGTATGTAAGTCAACCAACAAACTGAGGAAGGCTGCCTACATGTGAGTGAGCACCTTCCAGGCAGAGATGGAAAAGTAAAGGGAGAAAAGGACCGACCCTCCCCCTGGCTCTTCCTCTGGAGCTGGTACTTGGGTGTTGGGCTCTGAGTTTTTTGTCTTTGGAACTCGCACGAGCAGTCCCTCTGAAAGACTCTAGGGCCTTTGGTCTTGGAAGTTGGAGCGACATAATCAAAATTCCTAACTCTGAGGCTTCCAGTTTCTTTTTGGTCTAAGACGGGAACTTGAACTCAGTACCTGCCACTTTTGCTCACTGGCTAGTGCTCTATCAACGGCAGGCCTCCAACCCCAGCTTCCAGTTTCTTGGGCTAAACCATACAATCAACTTGTAGGTGGCCACTGCAGAATTTCTTTAGTTCTGTAATTGAGTCAATCTTGAAATAATATATCTCAATTGTTTCTTTTTCTCTGGAGACCCCTGACTAATAATATAATGTCATCTTAGGTTTTAAGTAACTACTATAAAATTTTTTTCCAACATAAAATGTCTAGGAAACAAGTTGTGATAATGTGACAAAACTATTCTGGAGCCAATATTAAGTAACTGGTTTAGAAACATCTCTTTCATTGGAAGCAATAGAAAAACTAAGAAAAACAGAGCACTCTTGGGAAACCCAAAGCAGCACAAGGCTATGTCTCTAGAGATGGAATTCATTAGGTGAACAAACTCCAGTATTCTCAGCTTTCTGTTGGTATAATTTCCTGACCACAGCAAATAACATTGTAGTACAGAGTGCCCTGGTCATACTGAGCTCAAGTGGAAGAGATCTAGAGCAGCTACACTTGTGAAATCTGCAACATAGAGCACTGGAGAGAAGAGAGCTAGATAAAATAACTTATCACTAAAATACCAGAAAAGCTTGATAAAACACAAATTGTGGTGCTCCACAGCCAGCATTTCTGATTCAGGAAGTTGAGATGAAATACTGAAAATCTGTATTTCTATAAATTCCCAGATGATACTGATGCTTCTGAACCATTCTTTGAAAATGACTTGTTAAGCAAAAGACAATGTAAGCTAAAAACAAATCTTTCCTATGAAACCTTTCTCACTCATTCAGAGATTTTAAGTAAAGTATCTGAGGATACAAGAAAATAGAAAATTAACTTCACACAAAACCAAGGACTTCCCTCATAATTAAACAGAAAGCTTAGATGGCTTACCTGTAGATCTTTCACATTTGGAAAAGGAATTCCTATGGTTATCACAGCACGGGCATTGTCATCTGAGAAATCAAGACCCTCACTCACTTTGCCCCGACAAACTGCTATGAGAAGGGCTCCATCTTCAGCAACAGAAGAAAAAAAAAATCTTACAAGCCACACTCAAAATTCTGAGAATTTGCTTACTCTTGTCATTTCTGAAGTTCATTAGGAAGTTTCAAATAAAATACAGTAAGATATCCTTTTAAACGATTATCTTAAACAAGGAAAACAAAATTACATATAATAGTAAAACAGTTGACAAACTATGCATCTCTCAGATACTTTGTAAAGTAAAATCACACCACAATACCAAACAATATAAGAACTAAGAAAATGTAAACTGAAAAAATAAAATTTCAACCTGGTATCCAGTGGCTCACGCCTGTAATCCTAGCTACGTAAGAGGCTGAGATCTGAGGATTGTGGTTCAAAGTCAGCCTGTGTAGAAAAGTCTGTGAGATTCTTCTCTCCAATTAATCACAGAATAAGCGAGAAGTGGCACTGTGGCTCACGTGGTAGAGTGCTACCCTTGAAAAGGAGCTCAGAGACAGTGCCTAGTCCCAGAGTTTAAGCTCCAGGACCCCAAAAAGTAAAGAAAAGAAAAATAAGAACAGAAGAAAGAAATTGAGTCCTTAGTAGTGTAGAGCATTTGTGTGGGATGGGGGGGTTGTTGTTTGTGTGGTTTCGTTAGGTATTTGAAAAAAGATCTCAATATGGAGCCCAGGTTGGCCCTCCTTCTGCTGAGTACCCCAAGTGCTGGGATTTTAAGGGTGTACCCCAACACTCGGCTCCTCATTTCTCAGCTATGTTTTGAAAACACAAGTTTACCTTTTGAAAACATTATAGGAAAATTAACTATAATCTAAGATTGTAAATAAGTTGTGTGTGTGTGTGTGTGTGTCTTTACTAGGTCTTGCTTTTTGTTTGTTAAATGGAGAGAAGAGTCTTGAGGATTTTGTTTGCCCTGACTGGCTTTGAACCTCAGATCTCAGATCTCAGCCTCTGGAGAAGCTAGAATTAGAGGTGTAAATCCTTGGGGCCTGATATAAAATATGCATTTTTCTCTTAGGTGCAATTTACTTACAAGATGATAACAATGAAATTCCAATAGCACCGATTTCTTGCCTTATAATAAATATATTGACCATAAAATAATTTCTAAATACCTTTCTCTCCTTTGTACTTGATCGCATCATAGTACACCTGAAGTAGTTGATCAAAATCAGTCTTTTCTCCTCCTTGAGGTTCTACAATGACTGTTTTCATCAGTTCCAAATTTTGCCATAAACCAGTTGAAAGCCAGCGTTCTTTTAATTTTTCTAGTAACTAAAAGGGAAAAGAAAATTAATTTTTATGTTGAATAAATTTTCCTTTGTTTAAAGCTGGTTGGACTATAATGTGCCTAAGGCAAACATACTAACTTTTCTGTGACTTTTTTCATCTATACAGTGGGCTAAGCATTATCTCACAAAGCTGTTACTGGGAAGTTTATTAACAGATCTGAAGATGTATGAATGATACCTGGCATACAGTAATAAGGAGCTACTGCTTTGACCATTATATATAAAAATTTGGGGGAAAAATAAAATTCAAATTTTGGAAATGGCTGTCACAAGTGGCTCATGCCTATAATCCTACTACTTAGAAGGCTGGGAGCTAGAAAATCATGGTCTGAAGTCAGTCTGTGTAGGAAAGTCTAGAAGATGTCATCTCCAAAATAGCCAGCAAAAAGCCAGGCTGGAAACATGGCTTAACTGGTAGAGTGCCAGCTGAGCAAACAAGCAGAGCAAGCAGAAGGCCCTGAGTTCAAACCCTGGTGTTAGCAAGTAATTTAATTAAATTAAAAATCAAATTCTGGAAATGAAAAGCCAAGTAAGTTTTTTTGTTGTTTATTTTAAAGATGCTGTACAGAGGGGTTAGTTACATGAGTAAGGTAATGAGTACATTTCTTGTCAAGCATTGTTACCCCCTCCTTTGTTTTTCTCCTACTATTCCTTCCCTCCCCCACTTTCCCCACTCCTCTTCCCCCACCCAAGTTGAAAAGTTCATTTCCAAAATAGTGCCTTGTGAGTATCACTATTGCAATAGATCATCCTGTGTCCTTCTTTCAACATTTTGTTATTCCCTTTCCCTTCCCCAACTAAGTAAGTTTTTAAAAATATCATTTGAGCCGGGCGCTGGTGGCTCACGCCTGTAATCCTAGCTACTCAGGAGGCTGAGATCTGAGGATCGAGTTTCAAAGCCAGCCTGGGCAGGAGAGACCGTGAGACTCCTATCTCCAATAAACCACCAGAAAACCGGAAGTGGTGCTGTAGCTCAAGTGGTAGAGCGCTCGCCTTGAGCTGAAGAGCTGAGGGACAGCGCCCAGGCCCAGAGTTCAAGCCCCACGGCCGACCAAAATAAATAAATAAATAAAAATATCATTTGAAAGCCTCACTAATAGAATGGATAAAGTAGAAAACAGACATGAGAAGGTAAAAATTTAAAAAACACTTGCAGTCTTTTTCTGGTTCATGCACTTGCATGACATTGTGCATCCCTCAAACCTTGATATGACGTGGACCCATTACCCTTCTGATGTGAAAAAAACCCACATTCGTGAACAAACACACACACACAAATTAGCACTGCACAATAATTCAGTTAACAAATTTCAGATGTATCAACAAGAATAAATCACAGACTTACAGATGTTGAGGAAAAAGAGTAAACAGATGGAAACATATATATGACCTAACTAATACAATGTTTAAAAAATGTTCTTTAAGAAAAATTCTGTAACTTTTTAAAATTTTCATTTTATTGTAAAGATGCTGTATAGAGGGGTTACAATTACATGACTAAATTGTTTAACTTTTTAAAAACAAAATTCATTTCTTTAGTTTTGAGAGATATGACTGGAAAGGGGCACTAAGGAGCTGTAATGCTGGAATAATGCTCTGTTTAAACAGGTGGTTGATAGTCATGTCTACTTTATTATTTAAAACGTTCATATTACACTGACACATATTTTACAATTGAAAAACAAAGATTAAACATTACTCAGGTATTAATATTAGTATAAGGAATGTTAAGAATAGATACATTTAAGCTCCTAAGTAAAGTCATCCAGAGATAGAGGTGGCCTGAATTAGTTAAGAAAAAATATGCAAAAAAGGAAAGCATCAATTTCCTAAACAGAGGAGCAAACCTAAAGGTTTACGTAGGGAAATGCGTTTTATTGAATTTTTAGTCTCGAGTGGAATTGCATTTTAACGTATATTTTTGTTTAGAAGAAATTCAAGTGATTTCTGTCCAGGAGAGAAGATAATCCCAAAGGTTACAGTTTATTAGCCTATAGAGTTTATTAGTCTGTGTTCATATCAGCAATCTCATATTTTATTTCTTTATTTAATGTTTATAGCTCCCTCAATGTTTTCTGTTTGCCTTACCATCATGTCACTCCCTCATAAGTCAGTGAGTTTAATAAAGCTCTTTGATAAGTTGATATTTAAAACTGAGTCAAAATTTTACCCCTTTGAAAAGTATACAATAGAGAAATAAAGTGAATAGATTACAGATGTATTTAAAATTTTTAATAAACATGGTTGGATTGGATATTATAGGAAAAGGAGCAGACAAGTTCACAGATGCCCACTGGTATCTGATTAACCAAATACAGATTATGGTATCATTTGTTCATACAGACACTACTGGAAAAGTGCCAAGTTTGGAAGGAAAGATTTTAAGTTGCTTTTAAGATACCCAAACTGAAATGCTGATCTGGCAGTTGACTATATGGGTAAGAGGAGGAGATTAGAATTGAATGATAAATTGCAAAACTAAGAAAATGGATTAAAAGAATGGTATATATGTGCTCATCAGAGGGAAATTAGGAGGAGGACACAGAAACAGAGGGAAACGGGAAACCATACAACAGTGGGACCCTTCAGCTGTACTGGACATTGATCAAAACAAACTAAGCAACTCAATGGCAGCTATGCGGGGGAGGGAATGAGCAGGAAAGAGGGAACAGCTGACACTAAGCAAAAGGAAAGAAATGTGCATATCACCCGATTTGGAAGAAATAACTGTACTTGTCAAAGCTCATAGAACTCATAAACTTTATAGACCATGATAAAGACAATTTGCCCCATGAAGGCTAGAATGTGTTTGTGATTAAGTATCACTATCCCACAATACTGTGAAATTTATGTAATCACTTAATCACAATTTTAAAAATTGCAAAAAAAAAAAAGAATGCATGTGGAGAAACTGACCAGGAGGAGAATATAAAGAAATGGATTCAGCAAGGAAAATTTCATGCAACACAGATGTACACACACATAATTATATGTATAAACATAGAAGGTAAATTGAAATAAGGGAGTATATAGGGTGAGAAGGGGAAGAGAAAGAGGATGAAAGAATGTGAGTAATTTTGAGATATAACTATATATGAAATGAGCATAAAGAATCTCAATGAAAGCTGCTGATCTATGGGTGATAGAGAGGGAAGAAGAAAAGAAGAAATTTGGTAGATCAAAACCATTCAGTTCATTATCATCTAACGTATCAGTCTCTTTCTAAATATCTGGTTTATCTTTTGCCTCTCACCCCTGAAATATAAGAGAATACCTAATTTTTGCCTATTTTGCTCACTATTGATTGTCTAGTACCACCACATCACCTCACACATAAAAAATGATTGAGAAATAACGAATAAATTTAATAAATGAATAAAAAAGAAGACCCAAATCAATGAGAGGTCAAAGAAGATGATAAAGGGGAAAAAACTTGTAAAATGAGGTACAAAGTCCTTAATAAAAAATAATCAGGTGATTAAGCACATGGCAATAAAGATGAAGCCCAGAGTGATATGATTAAAACACATGAGCACAGAGACTAAAAGTTTCTATTGGTCATGCCACAAAACTTTACCTTTTCTCCCTCCCTCCTTCCTTCTCACTTGTCTCCCCCCCACACAATTCCCCACACTTGCTTTTTAACGAATATTAAGAAGGTTTAAAAAAAATAACATAGTACATTCTGAGGTACTACAAGTTATGAAAGGAAAAACAAGTCAGAGCTGGAAAGGATTGACAAGGCAGTGGCATCCTCCAAGTACATCTAGATTTTAGTCCGGATGAAGTATGAGAAATAATTTGAAAGGGGGGAATTCAGTGACTAGAAGGCACTATTTATACAGACCGCAATGTGTTTATTTTAGTCTCTTCAGTGAGGATTTTGTAAAAAGCACTTTAAAAGCCCTCCACCAAGAAGTACAAGAGGCTACATGCAAATTGGGAGAGTAGTTCTACAGGAAAAGCACAATGATCATCTCAGTGAAAATGGTCTAAAGCAAATTTTCTGTTTTAGATGACGTTCCCATTGCACTCAACTTACACATTTGTACAATATGATTATTTCTCTATTGCCAGAGAAGTATCAGAAAGAACTAAATAACCTAAATAACTCAGCTGGTAGTTAAAGTCTTGTAAGTATCTAATGCAGTACCGAAAACTCAAATAACTTCAAGGCAAACCCCTGGACAAAGAGCTGTCTCTCAGGCTTTAAGGCTTATATACTGTGAAAGCCAAGAGACATGTTATAAATGGTTTTTCTCTGATAGCTGATAAAGAGTAAATATTATTCAAAGACAGAGACAAACTGACACACAGTGACAGAGATGATTTCACTTACCAATTGGTGTCCACATCACTTGGAAATTACTGCAGGGGCAATTTTTTTTTTAATCAGATCTCACAAATGAAAAAGACACCCTGGAATGTCTCTGTCTCATCTGGACATTGTCATTTTACTTTTTCAAACTTCTTAAAACCAGTATCTCACTAGGGAGGCAGTGAATTAGGACGCAAACTCATGGGGAAATCCTGCATTTGCTCAATGTCCATAGCTTTTACCCACTTCCAGATGTTCAGTGCATTCATAACGCACTAACTCAAAGCCTCTTTTTGAAACTTTAGAAAGTGCAAATTGCATTAAGACCTCTTTGCCCTCATTAATGGTATTGTTACAATCCCTGTCCTCTGGAAAATGTTTTTTGGCATGTGTTTAACTTTATAATATTACCATTTACTCACTTTAATAGCCAGCACTCAAGTCTTAATGCTTTTAATAGTCTTGCCTCTATACACTACCATCTTCTGTAACCTTATTCACATTATATACTTCATAAATAAAACTTGTCATATTTTTCCATCGAAGGATGATTCTTATTCATTCCATGAAGCATTAATATTAATGAAATGTTTACTTTCTATTATTCATTTTAACATGTGCCATCGACAGGTACCTATAGCTGTACATCTATGAAATGAATGCAT